GGAAATGATGTTAAAACTATATATAAATATTTAATATCCCAATAAGTAAATTAAATGATACTTATGCCCAAAGTTTATACGGTGACCCATGATTGTCGATAGTTGATAGAAAAAATGTGAAAATATTTTATTTCAACAAAAAAAATTACACAATGTCAAATTTTGGCAAATTTACGTCTAATGGTGTAACCCTATAGTTTATTTGAAATTATCGCAAATCTTTACTGATTTCATATAGCTATGCATAATTTAATAATAATGTTGCAAATATACGAATATAAAGTAATAAATAAATTAAAAGACTTTAAGATTAATTTAAAGAAATTTTCGAATTCTGTTATTGCCACAAGTATTTGAAATGACATTTTCCTCATAAATTTTATCAAAAACTTAACAATCTTAATACGATTGCATATAAAAGCAAAAAGGTTAGTATAACGTTTTTTTTTTGTTTAATTTAAATATGGAAAAAAGTTTGCTTAATTTAAATTTTTTGATATTTTGGAAATATTACTAGTACAATACTAGTATTGTAAGTATAGGAACGTATAATAAATCTATTTAAGAATCTGGTTAATTGTCAACCACTAATTGCACTTAGAAATCGCTTCCGACTACGCCACTTAAATGTTCCAAATTTGGAGAACGTTATTAAAAATATTTATTAACACAGAAATTTTTTATTTGGACTTACCGGTGCAGAGGCTAGAATAATACGAGCATTTATAGAATATAACTCTTGCCAACTTTGTTATGAATAGAGACACATTGTCAGTTAAATTAACAAAGCAGTAGAATTTTTTCCACTGATTACGATGGTAGAAACAGAAAAACAATTGAATGTAGAGTTTAGGAAAAAATGATTAAAATGGAGGGGGCCAAGCGGTCCACTTAAACTTTTTATTTTGACTAAATTTATCTATTACAATATATATTATTATTATATTATATAATAATGTTATATATAATAATTATAATTTTTTATTAAAAAGTATTTAATAAACGTTACTGTTTAGTAAATATAAGCTTTTTATTTTGACTAAATTTAACTATTACAATATATATTATTATTATATTATATAATAATGTTATATATAAGAATTATAATTTTTTATTAAAAAGTATTTAATAAACGTTACTGTTTAGTAACTATTTTTTAATCTATTAAAAAAATTGTTACTGATATTTATAAGATTTTCGAAAGTCCTAGTTTTAGGTTAAATCCATATAATTATCCAAAAAAATAACACATTCAATAAATTAATTACGATTCGGTTATAATAATATCGATTAGCTTTTTTTAGAATTTTTAAGCGGTCCTGGTGTTACGCAAAAGGCTTAAAATGTACAAATACCAGAATTTATAATTATAATAACGAAAAAAAATGTATGTTCCCAATTTGTATATTTTCTCATATACATATTGCATATGCAATATTGGCATTAAATTGAAAATAACCGAATTATTATTTTTTTGCGAAATAAAACTCCATTTTCCTTTTATTGTTGTAAGAAATATTTAAAGAAGAAAATAAAATAAAAAAACTAATTAATTTGCGATTAACTAATAAAGTTATTTTAAGACGTGTTCAAAATCAACAAATCGTACAATACATTTTTGAGCATGTTTTTCTGTTGATCGAATTGCCTGTAGTATTGTTTTACCAATTATCGGGCTTATTTTTTGTCTTATTCCAGCCTTTAAAATGTCAACGTGTTGGTATCTTCTCTTATGAATTTTGTTCAAGAAATAACCCCACAAGTAGAAATCAAGTGGTTATATCTGGTGACCGAGAAGGCCAAAGAATAGTTCATTTGTGGCAATCCATTTCTTGTTGGAAATGGTTGTCAAAAATTGATATGTGCTCCGGAAGTTATGAGCTGGTGCGCAATCTCGTTGGAAACGGAGATTCTGTCTACTTGCGAAATCAAGCTCATCTAGAAAAGCATCCAGACTTTCAGTAATGATTGCAATGTATCAGAGTCCCATGGTAAAAATATGGACCAACAATGCGAGAACCAATTATACTCTACCAAATGTTAAAGCTGAAACGAATTTGTGGACCTCGGGAATGTACTTACACAAGAAATTTTCTCTTGACCAATGATGATGATTTTTTGGATTACAAATTCCAAAATTTGAAAAATTTGATTACTGAGGCCACGAAATATACCGAAAATTATTTATGTTTTGGCGACAAAAGTTATCATACCAATCACAAAAAAAGTCTTCTCACTGCATCCATCCTCTGTCAAAAGCGCGTGAGCTACGGTATTAAAGAATAACTTAGAGACTTTCACTATATCTGGATTAGAATTGTCACGATCTGCTTCCAAATAACCAAGAACACCACATTTCACTTATAATAAAATTTTTTCGTCTCCTTCTATTTGAAAAAAACGGTTTTTCATTAGTTCCAAAGATGACAAGATAGACAAGATAGACAAGAAGGTTCATGTGGTGGAACGTGTTGCGGATATAGGTTTATATATCGTTCTCTTCGCGTTACAGACAATTTGCTGTATGCCAAATAACATTGTAACATGCCGCACTTTCTCTCATGCGTAAAAATCATTTTCTAATAAGTGATATAGATATAAAAAGCTAGTAATTTACACATTAACACTAACTTTTACAACCAGTGTCCCATTTGGCATGGCTGTCAATATTTTGCACAGCCTTCTTTGAACAATTTTTACTGCGCTTTTATCGAATCTTTAGAAATAATCAAACCGATTTTGCTAAAATGAGACGAAAAAATTTTATAACAAATAAAGACGTGGAAATTGGTGATATTTAAAAATAATAAAAGAAAAATGTAGTTTTTTAAGGAGTCTAGTCTAGCCTAAAAAAATGTGCCGATAAATCGGTTATTTTTTGTTCTGTTGGTAATTTACGAACGTTAGAGTAAAAAAATATACAGGGTGTTCCATAAAAAAAACATTTTCCTCATTTTTTCCTAAACCCTACAATCAAAAATTTTATAACAATTGAATAAATGAAAGGTTGTTATAAAATAAAACAATAAAAAAGTGGGGTTTTATTTCGCAACCACTCATAGCCATCTAGTCTAATAATGCTGCTGATTATTCTTTTTTTTGTTCTGCTGGGTAACGTTCTAGTAAAAATATGCAGGGTGTTCCATTTAAAAAGAGTACAATTTCCTCATTTTTTCCTAAACCCTAGAGTCTGTTTTTCTATTTTCACCGTCGTGTTCGGTAGAAAAGATGCTAATTTGCAAATTTTACCGACCTACTCATAACAAAGTTACCAATGAATGAATACTTAAATTAAATCAGCCTGTACAATGTTTATAGCGTAAGGTCAGCGTGTGATCTTCACTTAGCTATGGGCTTCATCTGCTGTTCTAGGTATATAACTAATTTAAAATTTTTCTCCATCTTATATACATTTTTATTATTATTATTTATTTTCAAAGTATTTAAAGATAGGTTAGACTCTAACCAAACTAACCAAAACTATGTCTGGAATAGAATTGTACAGGTAACCTCCAAAATATATAAGGACACCAATATCCACATCTTCATTTATAATAAAAAAATTTCATCTCATTCTTTTTGCATATGGTGGAACGCGCTGTGCATATTGGTTTATGTATTGTTCTCTAGCCCTTACAGACGGTTTACTGCATGCCAAATAGAATTCTAACAGGTCGCAAGTTTATTCATACGTAAAAACCACTTTTCAATAAGTGATATAGCAAAAATTTATTTAAATAATTAATAACAATTAATATAACAATGCAAATAAATTCACGCACTAAAACTAATTTTTTGAAAGATAGTTTTTTATTAGGCAGGGCTGTCATTATTTGCACTACCTTCATCTTTGGAACTAATGAAAAACCGTTTTTGCTAAAAGAAGGAGACGAACCAATTTTATAGCAATTGAATAAATAAAAGGTTGTTGATTACGTTCAAATGAAACAATAAAAAAACATTGGGTTTACTTTCGCAACAGTCTCAAAGAGAAATGTGCTGATAATTCGGTTTTTGTTCTGCTGGTGAACCATAATAATCAAAAATATATACATTTAAAAAGAGTACAATTTCCTCATTTTTCCCTAAACACTAGAGTCAGCTGTTTTTCTGTTTTGACCATCGCGGTCAATGGAAAATATGCTACCACTTTGCTAATGTAACCGACTACTCATAATGAATGAACACTTAACTTAGATCAGCCGGTATAATGATTTTAGAGCGCAGTCAGCGTTCTAGGTATATAACTAATTTGAACTTTTTTCTCCATCTTATATGCATTTTTATAATTCTTACTTATAATAAAATTTTATCGCCTCTTTCTTTTTGCAAAAACAGTTTCTCTAGCTCTGCATGCCAAATAGCATTCTAACAAGTAGCAAGTTTCTTCATGCGCAAAAACCACTTTTCAATAAGTGATAAAATTTATTTAAATAATTGATGAAAATTAGTATAACAATCATAATAGCAAATTAAAAAAACTTTGTTGAAAACTAGTTTTCTGTTTGCACAGCCTTGTTTGATCATTTTTTTCTGAGCTTCAAATAGAACAATAAAAGAAAAATGGAGTCTTATTTCGCAACTACTCAAAGCAATCTAGTCTAAAAAAGAAATGTGCTAATAATTCGAACCTCAGAGCAAAAAATATACAAGGTCTTCCATTTAAACAGAGTCCAAATCCTTAGTTTTTTGCTAAACTTCAATTTTTTTTCTTTTTTCACCATAGCGATCAGTGTAAAAAATGCTACTAGTTGGCTAATTTAACCCATGATGAAAGCTTAATAATAATGTTTTTAGCGTAAAGTCAGCGAAGTTATGAACTTCGTCTGCTTTTCTAGGTATATAACTAATTTTAAAATTTTTCTCCATCTTATATGCAAATTCGTGCACATTTTTACGTAAGCGCCAATTTTATCGAAAACTTGCGCATTTTTTGAAAGGACCCTTTAAAAATTAGCAGCAGTATTGCTTCGTTAAACCGGCAGGAACGGGCTACTCACCGAATCAATTACCGCCACACGTCGCTAACGGGTACGATTTCGAACGAGAAGTGCAGTTTATCAGGATGTTTGAGAGATCGGCGTCGCGACGCGCGTCTGCCACTATCGACGGCGCTGTCACAACTGGCCGGTGCTCTCCGAAGGGTTCGTGCGCTTGCGCTTATCCGCATTGTTGTGTTCCATCATAGGACGATGTGCCTTAGCGATAATGTGCCGCCTTCACCTGAAGTCTTTCAATTTTGAAAGAGTTCCGTCGCGACGCCGCTTTCGTCTAGATTTTTCGTGATGCATGGCCCTTAATTTGGAAGATGAAAAACACTACTTTATAACTTGGAGTTGATGCGGGTTATCGTCGCGAGGCTTAAATAATGGCAGTTGCGTTAAACTACTCCAGGCAACCGTTACTGGGTAAAACTTCTCAGAAAAGCTCATCACCATCATGCCGTGGATATTTTGAAGCGTATTTCTAAAATTCGATAAAGGCACAGTAAAAATTTTTCAAAGAAAGCCAAGGAAAATAATAACAATAAAAGTTAGTTTTAATGTGTTAATTATTAGCATTTTCATATTAATCCTCATCAATTATTTAAATTAATTTTACTGTATCGTTAATGAAAAAATAGTTTTTATGCATGAGACGAAGTGCGGCATGTTAGAATGCTATTTGGCATACAGCAAATTGTCTGTAAACCCAAGAGAACGATGCATAACCTATATCCATGGCTCGTTCCACCACATGAACATTTTTGTCTACGCCTTTATCGAATATTGAGACATAATGAAACCGTTTTTTTTTTTCAAAAAGAAGGAGATGAAAAATTTTCATTATAAGTGAAGACCGGAAATTTTTGCTGTTGGTTATTTGAAAGCAGATCGTGAAAATTCTAATCCAGATATAGTCGAAGTCTCTAACTTATTCTTTAATAGCGTCGAAATTATTTTTGCCCTTATGAATTCTGACCTGCTCAGGTGCTTTTGGCAGAAGATGCAGAGAGAAGACTTTTTTTGCCATTGGTATGATAACTTTTTCCGCCAAAACATTAATAATTTTCGGTATATTTTGTGGACTGACGAATCAAATTCGGGAAATTATAATTCAGAAAACCAACATTAGTGGTCAGGAGAAAATTTCTTGCTAGTATATTCCCGAGCTAAACAAGATTGATTTTGAAAAATCGTAGGTGTGCGGGGTAAGTTCGTAGCGAGTAGCGCCGACCAGATTTTTATTTCAAAAAGAAGCGAATTAGGGGTTTTTGTCCTTGAGGGACGCATTGTTCTTCTATCGTGCTCCACTATGGAACATTCGCAAAATCGATGTAATTTATGGTGCATGCACCCTGTATAAAGTGTTTTTCACATCTCGCCGAACTTCAAACTTACGGCAAACTTTAAATATTTAAATTTGTACTGGTAATTGCGATCTCAAATTATATTTTTTGAAATATCTTGCCCACCCTGTATTATAGACGAAAACTGAAACTCTCCCTCGACACAGTTTACGACACTCTTCAAAGAAAATTATCCCATTTCTAACAGTTTTTCATTTATCGCCAATAATTTATCCAAAAAAACATAAATTTTTAGGATCTTTTAGATTCTTTACCCATAAACGACACACCCTGCATGTAATTCAAACTATGTTCGCAATGGGGGTTATAACCCTGAACCTCCCACGTGTCCTGCTATATGAATTTTTCCAGGAGAGAAAATACTTGTTTGCAACAACAATGCAATACGTCGTAATAGTAAATGACGTCATCGTGTCTAAATATCTCGAAGAGCGTATGTGATAGACGAAAACCGTAAACACAAAAATTTAAGGTCTTGATGTGGTCTATAACACTGCTAAAACCGATTAGACATATTTTTTACGATTTTTGATTTGCGGGTAATAATTTATTCTTGAAAAGTAAAATTTTCACGGTCTTTTAGATTGTTGTCCATGAATGAAATATCCTCTATGTAATCGAAAAATTGTCTGAAATGAAAGTTATTGCCCCGGATATCTCGCGTTTCCCGGTGCTAAAATTTTGCCGATTGGTTAAACAGTCTATGAGAAAATCATGTCTTCCTGGAAACCAAAATAATCAAAGAAAAATTTTCAAATTTTTTAAAAAAATATTTGATTACACTTAAATTCTATTGTTTAGATGTGGGTACGGACTTTTACTTCCTTGCCAAATTTAAAATCGATAGCAACATATTTGAGTCATTTATGACGTCTTTGAATATAGCACGGAATATCCCGAACACCCCGTACAATATGTGATAACTTTAAATACAAAAGCTTTAGCTATCCATACTTCTAGTTATGGTCAATTATCATTACAAAGGGAGCCCAATTTTCGGTTTTTTGCAGATTACCGAGTTTTTGTCTGGATCTTGTACGTCATTTGGTTTTAGATTTTTTTCAATCGTAGATACTATTTTTGAGAAAAGATTTTTTTTTCGAGACCTTGCAAATGCGGTTTTTAAAATTTTTAAAAATGCTGAGCAAGACCTCATAGCTCATAACTTCCGAGGCACATATATATTTTTGACAACCATTTTCAACAATAAATGGATTGCTACAAATGGACTATTCCTTGGCCTCCTAGGTCACCAGATATAACCCCACTTGATTTCTACTTGTGGGGTTATTTAAGGAACGAAATTTATAAGCAAAGATACAAACACGTTGACAATTTAAAGGCTCCAATAAGACAAAAAATAAGCTTAATACATGGTGGAACAATACTAAACGCAATTCGATCAATAGAAAAACGTGTTCAAAAATTCCATCCCATATTTCTTAAAACAATAAAAGGAAAATGGAGTTTTATTTATTTTTTATGCCAATATTGCATATGCAATGTATATGAAAAATATTTAAAAAATCCATTTAAAAAGAGCACATTTTAAACATTTTTCTCTAAACCCTACATTCAATTATTTTTCTGGTGCTCTTATCTTAATCAGTGGAAAAATGCAACTGCTTTGATAATTTAGCTTACTGTATATCTCTACTCACAACAAAGTTACCAATCATGTACACTTAATTTGGGTCAGCCTGTATATTCGCTTATTGTATCGTATAAGTGCTCTTAATTATTCTAGCCTGTGTATCGACAAGTCCAAATTAAATATTTCTGTGTTAATAAGTGATTTTTGTGTTGAACATTATTTTCTTTCTTTTTAAAGGATTTTATGCATTCCTCCATTTTTATTGAGTTAATCTTTATGTATTCATTTATAAGTCATTTAGTTGATCGTAATAATTTCCACACTCTTTTAAAAAATAAAAATCGTGTTCAATGTCTTTTGGAAATCTTTCTCAATATTCCCCTTTGATGGTTTTTATCCTTGCATTCACCCTGTTTCTTGTTACTATATAGTTTGCGTGTTCTTCTGGTGTTTTGTTGCTTCCATATTTTAAGGGTGTGTCTCTTTTTTCTTTGCATATAACCTATTCTGTAAACCAGGGTTTGTTGACTTTTTTGTTATTTACATTTATCTTTCTTGTTCCAAGTGCTGTTCTTATGTTGTTTGTTATTTTTTTCCAGATTTGTTCTACATCATCGTTATGTGTTATTTCGATTTCTCCTATTTTTAATTCTAGTCTGTTTTGACACAGAGTTTTTGTGATTTCGTTTTCTAGTGATTCTATATTAGTTTTCTCTATGTGCTGTGGTTGGATTTTGATCAAAGGTGGTCTCTGTAATCTGATTTTGCATAACACTAATTGATGGTCTGATCTTATGAAAAAAAAAAAAAAAAAAACAAGACTATCATATGAGGACCATCTTAATAAAGAACTAGAAAACGTTGTCAACACCAACGACACTGACAGGTACTGGCTCGATCTCAAGCGAGCCTTTACAACCACAAACGAAAAGTTTCTCTTGAAAGAAAAAACAACAAGTAAAAACAAGTGGATGACCGAAGATATCCTAAAACTGATGGAGGAACGAAGGCAATGTAAAACCCAGAACGATTACAACAGATATGGAGCTCTTCAAAGACGAATACGAAATGAGATCAGAGCGGCAAAAGAGAAATGGCTACATGAAAGATGCCTAGAGGCCGAAGGCCTTTGCAGGCTTGGGGATAGTTTTCACCTTCATAAAAAAGTAAAAGAAATAGCGGGGTTATACAACAACAGACCGCTTAGCCTCATTAAAAACCAACACAATGAAATAGTGACAGAACCTGAGGAATTGCTGCATGTATGGAAAGAATACACAATTCGTCTTTTCAACGACGATAGACCAGATAATCCCCCAATAGAGATATCTACTCTCTCAGGACCGAGCATACTGAGGAGCGAAGTCACACATGCCATCAAGCTGATGAAAAATAACAAAGCTCCGGGCCCCGACGATATGTTTTCAGACACGATTCATTTAGTCAGCGAACAAAACTTGGAAAAGATCGTGACACTTTTTAATAACATCTATGATTCCGGACGCTTCCCAGCGGATTGGCTCCGCTCTACGTTCGTTGCAATGCCAAAGATGAACAGCGCAACATCATGTAAGGATTATCGTCTCATTAGTTTAATGAGCCTTTTTCTAAAACTTTTTCTCCGAATACTTCACACAAGGCTCTATCGGAAATGTGAGGAAGTGAGTGGGGCTAGTCAGTTCGGATTCAAGAGCGGGTTTGGAACTAGAGAAGCCATATTCAGTCTTCAGACGTTGGTCCAAAATTGCCAGGATCAAAGAAAGGATGTCTTTATGTGCTTCATCGATTACGAGAAAGCGTTCGACAACGTTAAACACGACCTTCTGATGACATACCTTGGAGAACTGGGACTAGATGGAAAAGATATAAGGTTGATCGGTAATCTGTACTGGCACCAGAGAGCGGAGGTTCGAGTGAGCAACGCTGGAACAACCGAAGATTTCGAAATCAAAAAGGGCGTTCGTCAAGGATGCATCCTGTCCCCCATGCTATTCAACCTATACGTAGAAAAGGCATTCTCCGAGTCCATCTCGGGTAGTCCTCTTGGTATCAAGATAAACGGAATCCCCATCAACAATATCCGGTACGCAGACGACACCGTGATATTGGCAGGTCACACAATTTAAATACCTGGGATGCATGATCAATAAAGGATGGGACCCGGATCAAGAGAT